AGGGGCTTACTAATAAGCCCAGCAACTTTCCTCTCTGTAACCGATGTGGGACACCAGGATCTCACAATCCACCCCTCTTAAGGCTGCACGTCCCCGTGCAGCAGCTCGCCAGCTACCTGCCAGCCCACATGCACGCCAGCACAGTAGGGGCCCACACTCAATCCAGCCGAGGGTCGGCTCTGATACCACTTGTAACACCCCCACCCTCCACATGTCATAATATTGTCTATTTTGGGCCCATTGGCCCTCACGCCTTTGTTCCTTCCAGTACCCCTGGAAAAAAGTCTTATGCCATGTAAGGCAAGAGGCTTACTAATAAGCCCAACAACTTTCCCCTTCCTAACCGATGTGGGAGGGGAACAGCCTTCGGGCTTACCTGTTACCATACACATCCGGTTAATGCTACCCATTTCGGTGGATCTTCTAACCCAATTTTATTGTGAGATTCTGGTGTCCCACATCGGTTAGGGAGGAACAAATTGCTGGGCTTATTAGTAAGCCCCTTGCCTTACATGGCATAAGGTCTTTTCCCAGGGGTACTGGGAGGAACAAAGTTGTGAGAGCCAGGGGGCCCAAAGAGGACAATATTATGCCATGTGGAGGGTGGGGTGTTACAGCCTCTTTATCAATGAAGAGCCTTCATATGTGTTGCATGAGCAAAACATATTTCCATTTTTTGAGCCTTTTATTACCCAATCCTCCTTCATCTTTAGGTTTGCAGACCTTAACCCATGCAACTATAGCCCTAGTGTTCTTTAATTCCAAACCCTTCCATAAGAAAGTCCTCATGAGTTATTCAATTTTTTCAATCACAAAATGTGGGAGAGCAAGGTGAGTGGACCAAAAAACTTGTATGCTTCTAATGATAGAGGTTACAAGCTGTAGCCTACTTGCATAAGACAAATATTTGTTGGTCCAAGATCTAATCCTTGTTCTGATTCTCTCCACAATCCTTCATAGTGCTGATTTTTTAGTCTAGAAGTTGTGAGAGGAATGCCTAAGTATCTGACAAGAAGATCTCCTTCAATTAATCCCATAAGTTGAAAAATATGGGACTTAGTTTCAGGTTGGACTGCACAAATGTAGATATTGCTTTTTCCAAGATTGATCTGTAGTCCAAAAGCATATTGAAATTGTTTCAGAGAGTGATTAAGCACCATAATAGAACTTAGGTCACCATGACCGAACATCAAGAGGTCGTCGATAAATGAGAGATGGCTGAGCTTGACCTTTTTGCATCTCCAATGAAAATTGAAAGGTTGGAGAAAGATATTTCTTTGGAAAATAAGTGTGGCTGAGCTTGACCTTTTTGCATCTCCAATGAAAATTGAAAGGTTGGAGAAAGATATTTCTTTGGAAAATAAGTGTTAGCACTTCCATTGCAATAATAAACAGGTAGGGGGACATGGGGTCCCCCTACCTAACTCCCTTCTTGCTTGGAAAGTAGCCAATAAGCTCGCCATTAATATTGACAAAGAACTTAGGAGAGGAAATATAGGCTTGGATCCATTTTCTCATTCTGCTAGAAAAGTTAAAGGCTTTTAATGTCTCCATCAGGAAGCTCCAATCTAGAGTGTCAAAAGCTTTCATAAGATCAATCTTAATGGCACATCTAGGGGAGCCTCTGTCATTATGGTAGTATCTTAATAGTTCTTGTGCAAGAAGAATGTTGTCCCAAATATTTCTTCCATGAATAAATGCTGCTTGGTTAGGATTGATGATCTCAGGAAGAATTCTTTTAATTCTAGAAGCAATGATTTTAGAGATGACCTTATAAATAGTGTTGCAGCAAGAGATAGGCCTGAACTCATTCATAGTGCTTGGATTAGGAATCTTAGGAACAAGTGCTAATATGGTAGAATTAAACTCCTTTAGAAACTTACCTATAGCAAAAAATTCCTTGATGGAAGCACAAACAAGATCCCTTATAACTGGCCAGGATTTTTTTAAAGAAATATGCATTGTATCCATCAGGTCTTGGAGCTTTCTAATCTTTTAAGGAGAAGAGAGTTTTCCTGATTTCTTCATTGGCAACCTCCTAACACATTTCAACGGCCTGTTCATCAGAAAGTCTTTTTTGCATCACTTCAAAAAAAAATTATTTTCTTTCACTGGTTAAATAAGTTGAGCTAGTTTAGCCCAAAAGGTTTTGGTAGAAATTAATAGCTTCATTCTTAACCTCCAGATCACCATCAGCAGTAGAACCATCACATCTCCTCAGTGATAAAATCTTTTTTTTGTTTCTCCTGTTAACCATGGATTTAAAGAAAAAAGATGTATTCTGATTCCCTTCTTTTAACCATTGTATCCTTGATTTTTGTTTGAGTACAATATCTTCATTCCTAGCAGCAGTTAGGTACAAAAAGAGGAGATGTCTCTTTTCCAGTCTCAAGTTGGAGTTAGTGTGATTGTTATCCTGTCTGGCTTGACACATTTCAAGAGCCATTTTAGCCTCAATAACCTTTGTAGATGTCTCCCCCATTTCTTTACTTTTTCCTTTGAGTAATGCCTTTAATCTTTTGAGCTTGCAGCATAATTGAAATTGGGGTGATCCATTGTCCCAGACACCCCAAGCTTGATTAACCAACTCAAGGAAGTCTCCTCTATTAGCCAGATGATTAAAAAACTTGAAAGGAGTCTTTCTCCTCTTGATTTCTTTTCTAATTTTAACATCAACTGGGTTGTGGTCAGAGACACCTAGTGCTAAGAATTCTGCATTTGACAATTGGATCTTGTTGTTCCAAGCCTCATTAACCAGAGCCCTATCAAGTTTTCTTGAAATGCTGCATCCCACAATTCTCATATCAGACCAAGTAAACTAAAACCCATTTTATCTCAAGTCAACTTACCAAGCATCTTGCAAACAAGAATCAAAATCCTCCACGGAACTAGTCTATCTCCTTGAACAACCCTTTGTTTCTTGAAGACTTCTAACAATATTAAAATCTCCAATGATCAACCATGATTCAGAACAAAAAATGCCTCCATGATATCTAAGATTCATCCATAGGTCTTTTCTATCATGCTCCTTATTAGATGCATAAACAATAGAAATGAAAAAAAAATCAGATTATTGTCAACATGCTGCACAAAAAAATTTATAATCTGCTTTGTCTATGATATTTTACTAACATTCAAGTTATTGGGGTTCCACCCCACCCAAATCCTACCCAATGTGTGGTAGTTATAGTTATCCACATATCTCCAATTCCTGAACACTTACCTCATAATGAAGCTTTTATTAATGGGTCTTACCCTTGTTTCAAAAATGCCAACAAAATTCTACTGATTAACAGCAATAAACTTCCTCATTTCTTCTTGTATAGAGGCTTTATTTAGCCCTCTAATATTCTAGCAAGCAATTTTTATCATTGTAATAGTGATTGACTGAGCTTAAGGTGCTCAATTCCCTTATGTTTGCTCTGCTTAGAGCCATTTTTTCCCCTTTCTCTTTTTGGTGTTACCCAGTGTTGTGCTGCTAGTATTAGCCTCTGGTGCTTCAATAATGCAAGCTTTTTCTGTTCATTTTCCACAGATAGAGACTGATTCGAAGAAATTTCAACAATTAACTATCCTTCTTCCATTTCTAAACCAGAAAATTTGTTGGAAAAGGAAAGCAAGACATTACAATCAGCAAGTGGAGAAGCAATTGTGTTTATAGAGGTTACTAGATTGTATACAAGTTGTGTGGTATTCAGAATCTTATTTAGATGGATTTGCAGAAATGGGGGAGCCATTGGAGCAGAGCATTCAGGTATTTGAGTGGTGGTTAGGACCTTATTTTGTACTCTTTCCACATTTGGTGCGTCAATGACTATGGTTTCAATAACTGCTTTCCCTTTGTCTTGGTTGGCCTTCTGTTTCAGTGCCTTTTTAGGCTTCCAACCATTGTTAATGCTCATTCTAGGGCATTTAGCTTCACTATGCCCAAAAAAATTGCAANACTGCTTTCCCTTTGTCTTGGTTGGCCTTCTGTTTCAGTGCCTTTTTAGGCTTCCAATCATTGTTAATGCTCATTCTAGGGCATTTAGCTTCACTATGCCCAAAAAAATTGCAAGCAATGCAAACATTGGGCCTCTATTGGTACTCCACTTTTATTTCAACTATAACTGATATACCCTCTTCATCCAATTGCAGATTGAAGGACTCCATCAATTTAGTATCAACTTTTACTTCAACATAGACTCTAGCGAAGGAAATCTGCTTTTATTAGTTGTCAGAGAATTAACATGCAATGACTTCCCAATTGTACTAGCAATGTAGCTTAATCCTCCTTCACTCCAGTATTATAAGGAACATTATGTAGCTTAATCCACAANTGATATACCCTCTTCATCCAATTGCAGATTGAAGGACTCCATCAATTTAGTATCAACCTTTACTTTAACATAGACTCTAGCGAAGGAAATCTGCTTTTATTAGTTGTCAGAGAATTAGCATGCAATGGCTTCCCAACTGTACTAGCAATGTAGCTTAATCCTCCTTCACTCCAGTATTATAAGGAACATTATGTAGCTTAATCCACAAGGGAATCATAGACTAGTCCTCTTTGGAAAGAATAAGATCAGGTTGTCATTTCCTGAGGATAAGTGGCCTCCCTAAGAAGAGCCATGGGCCATCTTCAAATACTTTGGTTCTAGAAGCATCACACATGAATTTGAAAAAATAGAACCCTTTCCCATCAACTAGGACCTCAAGAAGCCCTAACCTATCCTAGATCTTGTTGGCAATGTGGTTAACAACAGAGAATGAGAGCTTTTTTTCCACAAAATGTCCAACCAAGCATGTTTTCCATTCAAGGTTTCCTCTATTTACAACTTCAGTTGGTGGTTTAACCACAATACGTTCTTTGTCCATTGTGGGTTCAAAGTGTTGTAGCTTCATCTTAGGGTAGATTCCACCAACTTGTGATTGTTGTGTTCCACCCTTGCCATGCTCAACAACTTGGCTCCATGTACTAGTTTCAGCATTACCTTTTTTTGCTTTTGGGTAGTTTTCACAGTTGTGTTTTCCCAAATGGAGAATGAGAGACATTTAGGGACTCTTTCAGCTGAGAATTAACAGTTAGGGTATTAACATCACAGTTAATAGCACCATCACTGTTATTCAAATCAGCAGCAGAGGAGTTAATGACGCCTCTGTCATTTTGCATATTCACTCCATCGGGATGAAGCAGAGATAAAAGGGGCTGGGGATTCATCAGGGATTAGGTAGATAGGTAAGAAAGGATTAGAGATTAGATGGATAGATTTGCAATACTAGATGGATAGATTTACAAGACAGATTGAAGAAGCGGAGGAGAGGGTTTGGTGAACAGTGACCGAAGGGAAAAGGGTTTGGAAAGCATTTTAATGGGGAGTGATGATTAATTTTTATCTTACTTCATAACTTTGATTTTCACTTATTGGATAAAAATATCACTATCAAATTTAACTTTGGTTGAAGGTCTCAATTTTGGAAAGTGCTATTTGGATATAATTTGGAGGAGTAATGCTATAGAGATCTTATTTGGGGACCTAATGATGTGACTTCAATGTAATTATTGGACTAGTAGTGAGTTTCAATGTTAGATAGAGCCCACAACCAATCCAATGGTTGTACATCATTAAGTCTCTAAATAAGGTCCAAATAATATTTCCCAATTTAGAGACCTAATCAATTACAACTGTTGGATTCAAAATAAGTTCTATCTAACCTTGGAACATACAACTAACTAATGATTGCATTGAATTAGGTTAGATCAAGTCTATAGCAGTACTTCTTAGTTTTTTAGCACCTAAGTCAAACTCGAATTAAATGCATCAACCCAGGTAGAACAAAAAATTACAAACATAAAATACAAAAATATATAATAAAAATTACATTTGGCACATATTCAACTCTCTCCATTTTTCAAGTCGACTAATGATGTGCTTATCAAAACCCTTACAAAGTTTAGAGAAAAAGGTTAATGATATCTACCGTCCAATAATCCACATTTATTAGGTAAGTAAAGTTTGTTAAGGGATTTTGTAAGTGCAGCATGACTAATGCTAGATGGACTTAAAAATAGACTTAACAATTAGACTTGATAATCTCAACCATTGAATAGGTAGTGGGTCCCAATAAATGTTGGGACCTACAGTAAAATCAATGGTTGAGATTATCAAGTCTAGTTTTTAGGTCTACTTTTTAAGTCCATGTAGCATTGCTCGTGCAGTATTGTTTTATGGACACGCATCAAAGTATAAATAGTCAATGTCGTAATTTTTGCTAGTTTGAAGCAGTGGCTCTTACCACTTCTTTTGCTCCTTCCTTCCCCCTCTTTGTACCCCCTTCTCTAATCCCTTCCACTACCTTTTCATCCTCTATTCTTACAAATGGAGCCACCTAATTCCAACACTTCCATTGCTCATATTGAACACCGCAACTAATGTTGTTTATGTCCCTAGAATTACTAAAGGGTTTGCTCATAAAGAGGCCACCTCAAATGCCGTCACCGACAGCACTAGAGTGCTCCCAACACCAAAACTAACTCCATCAGTAACTAATGGAACCCACCTCTCTTTCAAAGGGGTAGTTGCTGATGGTGAAGCCATTAACAGCTAAACTAGTTGCTCAAAAGAGAAGGTGATTGAACTTTGTTGATTTCTCTCGGTGTTTGCATTACTTTGATTTTTTTTCCCGGAATTGCACATGATCTTTAGTCTAACCATAGATCAGTGCCAATATTGTTTCACTTATGTGGGATCAACAGTGGTATCAGAGTAGGCTTTTCATTCCAAAGAGTTTGGCCAAAAATTCCATATTTCGAGAATTTTCATTTTCAACGCAGCAAAGTTGTTGTCATTGTCTAACGATCATTCTCGTGAAAATTGTGGTCCAAATAGGCAAGGATCAAGAAGTATTGAAACTTTGTCGGTGACGGTGAGTGCCATAAACAAATGGCCTTGGAGTCTGATTGTTTTGGTGGAGTTTTACAATTGAAACAAAGCCTTGTGGAATGTGGACTATCTAAGAAAGTCACTGGTGGAACAACTGTGTGTGAAGATTTAGTGTGTTAGTTGATTCAGTCCTTTGTTTTGCATGAGGAAACAATTGGAGATTATGACCAAAACATTTGTATCACATTTTGGAGTGATCCAAGGGCCAAGCAAACGACAAATATCCATCATGTGAAAGAGGATAGAGAATGTAGCTGTTGGTGGGTCACGACTATATCCAATGATCGTTGTGTTTGATTTGTGAAAAACCACGCATAGCACCGTAATAGTGTCATTTGGCAATCAGGACCTTTGGTCCAATGGTACTCCTTACTTTATCAAGGTTTTGCCTTCTTGAAGTCAAGGGTTTAATTTTGTATGACTTTGAAAAATTAAAATTGACACTTCTAATATAGTATTCAGTGATGTCTTTGCATGCAATTGTCTATTTTAGGAAAAGACTTGCTAACAACAATTTACATATATAAATAAAGTCAAGGCAAAACCAATAACTCCTTATGTATATTTGATTGGGTTGAAATCTAATATATCAAACTTGAGAAATTAGGGTTACAAGACATGTCATTTTATCCGAATGTCTCTTTGGGTTAAGTTGAGTACTAAGCCTAAGGAAATTAAGTTTAAAAGAGATATAAAGAATGGAAGTGGCTAAAAAAATTTCATTCGGGTATAGGATTCATTGAAAATAAGGATGTTTTTTATTGATTTCGCCAAATTTGATAACTCTCATGGATTATGAAATTAATGGACAGCCAAAGTGAGTAAAGTTCACGGGTTGAGAATAGTGGGAGAAAATGTCACGCCCCAAATTTTATAAAAGCGTGATTAAAACAAACACTTTGTTTATTTTAAAAAAAAAACACATGCCAGTATGTTGTAAAACATCGAGGAAAGTATCTCTTTAGTTGGAAATAAATCATTTTTTTTTTTTGAAAATTGGGCTTCCAACCAGTTAGTAAGAGCATCATTGTGAGAGCATAACATAATTCTAACGAACTAAACATTCACAACATGCCTCCATCCAAAAATATAATCCAACTAAATCCGGGGTGACAATTAGAGGCCCACGAAGTCCTCCCAAACCCGGATATATTCAACACTAACACATACCACAACTTAGTACCCAAAGTCATAACTTTACATTACAATATCCAAAATAATAATCCTTCTATGGGATAATCAAGTGTACACCAAAAATGCCTCAAGACAACCTTTTCAATTACAATGCTTGAGTGCTAACATTTCTACATAAGTTCTAAAAGTAAATACAAAAAANGGGTGGCAATTAGAGGCCCACGAAGTCCTCCCAAATCCGGATACATCCAACACCAACACACACCACAACTTACTACCCAAAGTCATAACTTTACATTACAATATCCAAATAATAATCCCTCTATGGGATAATCAAGTGTACACCAAAAATGCCTCAAGACAACCTTTTCAAATACAATGCTTGAGTGCTAACATTTTTACATAAGTTGTAAAAGTAAATACAAAAAACTACAAAAGAGATTCTTTCTAGTCCAAGCTCCCACAAGCATTCCATCACTTATGCCCCAAGATGCATGCTAGTCTCTGGAAATATTAGTAAGGGATGAGCAACCACACGCTCAGTAGGATAATCCTTTTCTCAAGGATTTACAATGTTTTAAAAACAAACATTCCACAAATCATACTAATAAGTAATGAAGCATTATATAATTAAATACAGGTACAAGATAATAAGTAAAGCATTTATAAAAATCTCCCAACACCTCAACATTAGAAATATACAAGGTATAAATTAAAGTCAAACCATCATAGCAAATACTATGCATGCCTCGCACACGGACAATATCATCAATCACACCGGTTCACGCATGAACCATCCCCGGGGAACCTTTTGGGTCTTGCACTCTAGGGTCTTATCGCCCTTCTTGCTTTTCAAGGGGATCGTGTAAGACACAACTTGTGACGCCACATAGGCCATCACCGAAAACCACTATCATAACCAATCCCTCTTAGGACTAATAGTCGTCTTGGCAACCCACTCAATAGGCCCCAACAATCTACTAACCCTCTGCCTGTCAGTATCGAGCATACATTTTTCAAAAATTATTATTTTCTATATCCATAAATTCTTTTGAAAACACATGTCATAACTTTGACATTTTATCAAACATGTGGTAAGCTCAAATCTCAAAAGTTGTATTTTCAGAGCAACACAACCATTTCCAAGAGAAAATAAGTCATATATATNAAATTTTATCAAACATGTGGTAAGCTCAAAAGTTGCATTTTCAAAGCAACACAGCCATTTCCAAGAGAAAATAAGTCATATATAGTATATACAAAATTATAGCATACTTCAAAACTCCCAAATCATAGGTTTAATCAAATACCCATAACTAAAATCAAACTAGGGCATTTCCATTTCCAAGAGAATAAGTCATATTATGTACAAGATCATAACATACTTTAAAACCCCCAAATCATTAGTTTTATCAAATACTCATAACTAAAATCAAACAAGGGTTTCAAACCCATAACACTAAAATCATTTCCATTTTCAAGAGAATAAGTCATATTTTGTACAAGATCATAATATACTTCAAAACCTCCCAAATCATAAGTTTAATCAAATACCCATAACTAAAATCAAACAAGGGTTTGAAACCCACCACACTAAAATCATTTTTATGCATGTAGGTTCACAAATCCATGGCGTATTCAACACTATATTAAANAATCATAAGTTTAATCAAATACTCATAACTAAAATCAAACAAGGGTTTGAAACCCACCACACTAAAATCATTTTTATGCATGTAGGTTCACAAATCCATGGCGTATTCAACACTATATTAAGGTTTATAACAAGAATTTTGCCATCAACCACATAGTAAGTTTTAACTAAAGAAAATACATGAGATGCACAATGTAAATGCAAGAGAAAGGAAAATCCCACCTAAGAATAAAGAATTCCAAGCCAAATTCCTAGGATTTTCAAGTNAAAATACATGAGATGCACAATGTAAATGCAAGAGAAAGAAAAATCCCACCTAAGAATAAAGAATTCCAAGCCAAATTCCTAGGATTTTCAAGTAAACTCCAAGTTTTATGGACCTTCTTCTTCCCCTTTCTCTTTTCCCTTGTCTTCTCCTAGAGTTCTAAGTGATTTTGGGTGAGAGATGTGAGAAAAAATGGAAGAAAAGGGGCTGAAATCTGGGTTTTAAACCCAGCAGTCCCGAATTCTACTGTTCATGGGCTGAAAAATATATTTTTTTCTCCGAAATTATAATTTTGCCACTAAATATTCTAATTTTGATTCATATGACTACCCAAAGGTTTTTTGATGTTCTGGATTCATTTTTAATGTTATTTTAACCTAAAAATATTTAGTTTTATGATTTATCTCAAAACTAAAATTAATTTACACNGAAAAATATATTTTTTTCTCCGAAATTATAATTTTGCCACTAAATATTCTAATTTTGATTCATATGACTACCCAAAGGTTTTTTGATGTTCTGGATTCATTTTTAATGTTATTTTAACCTAAAAATATTTAGTTTTATGATTTATCTCAAAAATAAAATTAATTTATATCCGAAACACTAAAATTACTATTTTACTCCTCCGAACTGCTATATAAGCTAAGCATCCATTCCAAGTTTTTCAGACCTCTCAGACTCAATAATAATATTATTTTGACCTAAAAACGTTAATATATTTACCTAGTTACCCTTATCAATCTTAAACACCTCCAAAAATTAAATTTGACACAAAAGTCAATACATTCGTACATCAAGTNACTGCTATATAAGCTAAGCATCCATTCCAAGTTTTTCAGACCTCTCAGACTCAATAATAATATTATTTTGACCTAAAAACGTTAATATATTTACCTAGTTACCCTTATCAATCTTAAACACCTCCAAAAATTAAATTTGACACAAAAGTCAATACATTTGTACTTCAAGTTTATACGACTATTCTTTTAACAACGATTCGAAGTTTCTCTCATCATTTTAATTATTTTAAAAATACTAGCAAGTTTGATATCATTTATATTTATACAACACACGGGATCTGACAATAAAATTACAATCAAAGTTATTAAAATAAAATGTAAGTATAGTCTGAAGTCAAAAAAAAATATGATTTATTATTAGTTTTTCAAATTCATTCCTAAAACAGAAAAAATGGATTATCAAATCATTAAAAATAGCACAAAAATTATTGAAGAATAAAAACTTGCAATCAAACATATTAAAATAAAATGTACGTATTGTTTGGAGTCTAAAACAATTGGCGACACTGAATTTTGACTCTTATATGCTTTATTATTAATTTTTAAAATTATTTTCTAAAACAGCAAAAATGGAATATCAAAACATTAAAAATTGCACAAAAATTATTTAAAAATAGAAAATTACAATCAAACTCATTAAAATAAAATATACGTATCGTCTGCAGTCTACAAAAATTGGCGGCATAGAATTTGAATTCTCCTTTAATTTATTATTAATTTTTTATTTTTTTCNAAAAATAGAAAAAAATGGTTTATCAAAGCATTAAAAATTGCCAAAAAAATTATTACAAATAGAAAA